TATATATGTCCAACTAAAGATTTTATATCGCTTTATAATTAATTTTATAAAAAAATCTTTGTAAAATCAATGCTAGGTAACCTTGGAATTTAATGGAATTTTCAAATTCGTTGCATTTTTTGGTTAAAAAAGCAAACAGAGAAAGAAAGTTTTGTTAAATATAGCAATTTGCTAATGCATAAGAAATATTTTTTTTGATTTCAATATCTAAATAAGTCGAAAAACTTTGTTAAATTATTATAGTTTGTGAATATTTCAGTTTCATGATTTCGACAAATTAAAACTTTTAAGCTTCAACATTCAGGAAATAACTGAACTGTTAATTTTAAGATTCGGCGAATAAATCGGGATTTGTTATCTTCAACATTCTGCGAACAAATCAGAATTTGCCAACTTTTAAACAGTGGAATAAATGACATAAAGTAAAACCTGTGTAGGATTTTCCCATCGTTGTTTGAAATCTTCTCGAGCTCGTTCCAAAAATTCTTTGACTGAAATCAATTTTATGATTTTATAACAAATAAATAAAATGAAAATTTCAAGCAAAATATTTCCCAAGTGCAACATTTATAACCAACCAAATATTGAACGTTTCGTTTTTTTGTTTTGCCAAACATTGCCGAATAAAACTACGAGGAAGAAAAAAACAGTGCTAAAATTTTTACACGAATAAAATTATTGTTAACTACTTATAAAAAACAAAAAGAAAAAAAGTAGGACGCAAACCTCTCAGAAATTTTAAAAATATCTTTTGTTTTTTTAAAAATACTAAGGAACTACGGAGTAATTAATCTATTCTAGTACAAAAAAAAAGAGAAGAAAAATTATCGATTAAGCTATATTTTGAATATTAGAAATTCCAAAGATTATTTCTTCCTGCAGTTAATCAAATATTCGATCGGTCAATTCGAAGTAATCTATCTCATCTGTTGTTGGATAATTTTTAAATTTAAAATAGCATTCAAATGATTAATTATCCTAACTACAATTTCTTCAAAACATCAGTTCGTAGGAGTAAGTACATCAAGTAGTATTTGTAATGATGAAATGATTGTGCATATAATAAATAAAGAATGATATCATTTGAAATTTTAAACTTTATTTTTCCATTCTGAAAGATTTTTTTGTCATTACATTGAGAAAAAAAATTTCATTTATATGAAAAGAATGAAAAAAAGAATAAAATGTAATTTGTAGTTTAACCAATAAAATGAACATCTAATCATGTATTTGAATATTTCATTCGGAAATGATACATTTCCGGAAAAGTTTCGATGAAGCGATTTTATTTTTCCATTCTTCCTTTTCCTTCAACCAAATCTATTTATATTTTAAGCTTAAGATAGCATAACACTTTAGTAGATTGTTTTTTTTTTCCCCCAATAAAGATTATTTGTTCGAAGTACTTCAAAAAATGGCACTATTATTTTGGAAATTAATTAAGATCTGACCTGATCACCAGAGACAGTAAGAGAAATATATATATATCATAAATGAAAATGAGGAAAAATACAGGTAAAATTCACAAAAAAAGCAAAAAAAAGATAAATTCGAAAAATTAACATATATATATACAATAATATATTAGAATATTTATAAAGTACATTTATTCTAATAAATACGATTGTTGCATTTATATACGTAACATAAATGATAAAATTGAAATGTTTTCAACTGAAATTACTGAAAAGTCCAAAAAAAAAACTTTAACAAAAAATGGGAAAAAGAAGCATTCTTATATTATGAGAACAATTTTTTTCATACATCGATATAATACTTTTAGGCGATAAAGTTATAAATTATGTTATAAATCAATTTCAAAACTATTAATTCTGTTTTTCTTTTTTTTCTTTTTTTTTTTTGGAGCTTCCAGTTGAAGCTGAATAATTTCCAACAAACATATTAAATATTGAGAAAATTTTTAGTGAAAATAATCTTATATTCTCTTATATATGATATAAATATTCATCTTTTTATTTCAACAATTATCTATAGAAAAATTTCATTTTAACGCTAATAACTATAAGTCCAATATCAACAAAAAAAGAAAAAAAAACAAACGAATGAACGAAATTTTTAAAAAAAAAAACAATTTAAAAAAAACTTAACAATATTTTTGTCGCATTTTTTGACTGATTGACATTTCCACGATTGTTTCGATAAGGATGCAAAAAATTTAATACTAGATCGAATGGAGGGAATACGAGAGAGAGGAGAAGAGAAAGAACGAGATGAAAGAGTAAAATTAAAAAGAATAGCAGTAATTTAGATGATATGATCAAATTTTACAAAATTATATACCATTAATCGCCACTTTTTTTGGTACACTTTTTACGTCGATCAATATAACAGCTAATAGATAAAATAACAGTTATCATCCTAAAAAAAAAAAAATAAATAATAATAGTAAAGAGGAAAATCAAATATAAATTTGATTAAAATGGTAAATATCAAGTAATCACTCCGTTCTTTCTTTTTCAATTCCTAAATTTGATACAAATAAAAATGAAATTTCAAAATAAGCAAAAATATTTAATTCAAAATAAACATCTAAATCATTCTATTATGTACTTTTTTTTCTTCCTCACATTTAATACAAATAACCTACAAAAGTAAACATGTAGTGATGAAGATGAAACTCTCTATAAAAATGAAAATGTACTGATTAAAATAAAACTCTCTATAAAAATGAAAATGTACTGATTAAAATGAAACTCTCTACAAAAAATAGAGATGCACTGATAAAAGGTAAATGATAAGATGTTAATACGTATATATATATATATATATATACGCTAAGGAAAAGTTATATATACACTAAAATAAAATGGGAAAAAATTTTCAAATGCTTAAAAAATGAATGAATGATTTTTAGCTTTAAAACATTATCATTAACCACAAACCATTCAAAATGTTACTTGCTTATTGCTTTAACTTTCAACAACAAATATTTTTCATTTGAACAAACTTTCCTTTCATCGTTTTTTTTCGCTTTTTTTCCTCTCTTTTCCTTCCTTTTCCGTTTTTTCTATCCTATCTTTTCAAATGATCCAACTATTCGAAACGCTAGGATAAGGAAAAAAAAGATCAACGACAAAAGAAAAAAAAACAAAAAATAAAAAACTTCCACTCAGTTAGATTAGTTTTAAATATATGAAAATTTTTTTTGTTAATTTTCATAAAGTTTAATGGGAGATAAAAAAAAATCCTTTTTTTTCAAATATATCATTTTCATCTTACAGAAAAAAAATTTATAACTAAAAAAAAGAAAAATGTTTAACAAAAGCAAAAAAAAGTTTAATCCGAAAAAAGCGTCACTTAGTTAAAATAATTTCAAATATATACAAAAGTTTTTTTTATTGATTTAATTCTTTCTTAAAAAAGGAATAGAAAATTTCACTTTATTCTCAACTTTTTTTTTTTTTTTTGCAAAAATAGTTTAGAAATAAAAAACAACGCTTACTTTAGAAAAAGTCATTTTGACAAAAAAGAAAAAAATAATTTTTAAAAAAAAAGTTTTCTTTTCAACTAACAAAAAAAAAAGATTTTTTGCTAAAACTTTTTTTCAGAAGAAAGAAAAAAAAAAACAAAAAACATGAAGAGAGAAGACATCTATTTAAACATCCAATCTAAATCTCGTTTCTTTTCTTTTTTCCTCATCCTACATATGCTTTAGCTTTCTTCAAAGTGAAATTAGAAGGAAGAAAAAAAGTATAGTTAGATCTGAAAACTATAATATTAGATTCAAAGAGAGAGAGAGAAAGAGAGAGAGGGAGGGAGAGAGAGAGGAAGAAAGGGAATGGGAGAGGCGGGGGAGTAATATAAATACGGTGAATGGAACGGGAGTGAATAGAAAACTATTTATAGCTATTAGGCTTATCGACTATTCATCCATCCATCTATCCATTCATGCCTATATCTACAGGCCTTTTTTTTCCCTCTCAATACTAGTTTGTGCTCTTTTTTTTAAAAAAAAATCAATATTTTCATTTGAAAAAAAACAACCAGTAGTATGTGAAGCTGCTATTTTTAGTCTAAATCTTATCAAGTAACAGCAAAACGACATGCTTTAAAGTATAAAAGGACTTCATTTCCCTTCTCTTCCATTATCTTTTTCTCATATATAAGATGGTAAAAACAGACTCGGTACTTTTGTTCTCTTATATAAGATGGTAAACGGAGCCTCTTTGCATCTCTCTTTTCCTCCCTTTCCATCTCATCTTTTCGTCATATTTTTTATTTCTAATTTTTATTTCATTTTCTTATTTGTCTTACCTCCTACATCTTCCATCAATTCGTAGCAACAAATAGCACGGCTTGATAAAAGAGATAAAATGAAAAGAAAAAAAAAATATTTTCAAATTTTTACACTTTCAAGAAAAAAAAAAAACAAGAAATATTTCTTCTTTAATGGAATAACCATTAATTTATTAATATAATAATCATTAAAAAAGTAAAAAGAATAAAACAACGAAAAATAATACTAAACAATAATATGTTAACTGATATCTTAAACAATAACATGTTAATCGATATCTTATTGTTTAAAAATAAATTTAACCTAAAATAAATAAAAATCCGATAAAATTTTATCATTTTTATTGAGATATCATATCTTATCGTTTGGAATAAATTTTAAGCTACCATTATTATCAGAAAAAAAGAAAAAAAACACAAATAAAATACGACTATAATGTTAAAACAAAAAAATTAATTGCCATCTAGATAATTGTTATTTTTAGCATAATTTTATCTATTATTATTGGCTAGAAAAAGTATAAATAAAAATAGATAATGCAATGATAAAAGAAATAGAAGTCAATAATTGAAATATGAAATTAATTTTATGACAAAAAAAAAAAAAAAACGCCAGGAAGAAAAATTCTTTATTACATTTCAATATTTATTCAAACTATAAAACATACATTCATTCATTCATACATTCATTAATTAGCTGCCAAAATTCGTCAAAATTATTTAGCAAATGTTGCCTTCTGTTTTTCCCAACGATTAATTCATCTTATCGTTCATAAACAAGCAAATTTTTCAAACATCAATAAAATGTTTAAAAGAAAAAAAAATTCAATCATAAGATGATGCCAATAATTATTTATTTGAACTAAAAAATAGATCATGTGTTTAACAATAATGATCATATGTTGATGCCTCAACTATATAACACTGATAAGAGACATCTACCATTTCATTAATTAATTAACAATGTCATCAAAAACAAAGAATTAAAAAAGGAAAAAACGGAAAGAAAAAGAAAAAGAAAAATTGCTCAAACATCAATCAAATAAAGCATTGATTAACTAACTGACGAATTGATTAATATAACCAGATGATATCAGAGTAATTACTAATGATATCAGAGTAATTACTAAAATGTAAATGAATAGTAAATTTAATATTAAAAGAAAGAAAGAAAATTGAAGAAAATGGTTAATGAAATTTTAATGAGAAAACCTTCAAAAATTTTCATTTTTAAATTTTTACATTGCGACAAAAATATTGCATAAGCAATTAAGCAAGTAAACAACAGCTGTATAATAAAGACTTCTTTTTTTAGTCTCTTTTTTTTTTTGGTCCATTTGAAATTTTTTTTTTACTTTTTATAAATTTTTAGAAATGAGAAATGATCATGTTGAAACAGCTGTTGAAGAGAAAAAAAAAACTTTCTGAAATTATGGGAGAAAGGAAAAATTGAAAAAAAAAAGAACAAAGAAAAAAGAAAGGAAAGTTTTTCATAAGAATAATTGGAAAAGGCAGATTTGAAATGGATGAAATGTTTTATTTCATTCAAAAATCAATTTTACCAAAAATTTGACTTTGACTTATGTAGTTAAAATTAAAAGTGAAAAAAGAAAGGGAAAGGAGAAGAAAAGATAAGCAATGATATGATAGGAAAGTGATATGATAGTAAAGTTTAAACTGAAAAAACGAAAAAAAGAGTTATTCTCGAATTCCGGAATATATATCACTTTAGAAGCTTTTAAAAAGTTCGACAATTTTGAAATCTCTTAGAATAAATTTATAAAAAAAAAAGGGAGAGAGAAAGAGTTAGTTTTTGTAAAGCATAAGGGGTTGCACATTTGCTTTCTTTGAATAGTAAGTAGGATGAATTATTTTTAAAAAGAAAAAAAAATGCCTATTTACCCTCAAATAGCTGTATAGTTTCCTTAAAAAATTGCATGACTATCTGAAAAAATTGCACATTTACCATGGAAACTGCACATTTACTATAAAAAATCGCATATTTACCTTTAAAAATTGCACATTTACCATGGAAACTGCACATTTACTATAAAAAAATCGCATATTTAACCTTTAAAAAATTGCAC